TAATATTATTATTATTATTTAATGAAGTTTGCAATAATAATATTATTATTATTTAATGAAGTTTATTAAAGGCAAAGTATTCTTTTAGTATTTTATTATTGAAAAAGTATTTTATAATTCAAATTATATCAAAATGTAAAATTAAGATGAACCCTTGAAAGAGGAATGAACTCTTGCTATTGATATTAAGGCTCTTCCCATTTAAGAATTCTTATTTTACCATTCAATACAATTCAAATTGCAATAATTAACTCTTATTATTTATTCTCACAATAAATTTTTGGTTATATTTTTTTTAAAGGTGAAAATACATCCTAACAACTCGAAAAACAAGTTGAGAGATGCTTGTAAAAATAAAAAACTTGAGTCCCCCCTCATTTTTATCTCTCTCCTCACTCACTTCTTCTTCTTATCTCTCTCTTATTTTGCCATTTCATAAGTTACAAGTTCTATTAAAGGTTTATTACATTTCATGCCCTTATTTTTGATCTCCCAAGGCACTACCATATCAAAAGGATGTGAAGTCCTATTTTATCTTTTAACAACCCACTGAAGTTGAATGCTTTGTATGGCCCTTACTTTCTTTCTTAATTAATGCTTTTTTTAGTTATTATAATTTTTTACCTAGCATATCTCTTTAACTCCATCATCAAAAGTTCCTTTTTTCACCCTCACTTTTGTCTCACAAACCACTTTTTATTGATCTAACTAAATTTTCCTTTTGTATTTAAGTATAAGATTGTTTTATATAACAATTTTTTCTTTTCTTTTTTTTTTTTTACAACAAAAATCACATGTTAGTGTGAATAAGGTTTTTTTTTTTTTTAATACAATAGATTTTGATTGTATTTTTTAAAAACTAATTGAGATTTTAACACTACATTTTGAATGATTTATTATGTCATTTACCAAAAAATAATAATTTGTTATATTTTAACTTTAAAAGTTTATATGATATTTAAAGTGTTATTTTAAAAATTATAAAGAGGGTAGTGTACAGTTCATAAATTATTTAATGATATTATTATTATTTAATGCAATTTTTTAAAGATAAAATATTGTTTTGAGAGTAAGGATCCATTTATATATAAATTTTACATATCATACTTACACAAAAAACTTATTTGGTATGGTGGTTTAAGGGTAGGAATTTTACTCAAATCACTAAGAATGAGTGTTTGGTAAATATATTTATTTTGAAACTACCTACAAACTAAATGTTTGGTAAAATTTTTTATTTCGCATTTGGGATTAGTAGATAACAATTAGAATTTCAATCGTTAATAAATTAAAAAAGCTACATAAAATAGTTTTTTATACCAAATTGCTACCGAATTAGTATTTTTTTAATTTTATTGATAAAGTTATTCATTTTAATTTTTTTCTACAATTTTTAATTAGTATTTATTTAATTAGTTTTAACTTTATTTTTTTGTTTTTAATAACATTAAGTGATTATTATATTTTATTTTTACATTAATTTATCATAAAAAATATATTAATTTAATAAACAAAGTTTGCTAATTAGATGAAAAGATTAAATTTTTTTTTTGTGCTTTATTTAAAAATAATATAATTTTATCTTAGTTAAAAATAGAAATTAGTGTGTAATTACATTATTATAATTTATTTTATTTATTTATTTTGTTATTATTATTTTTATAGAAGTAATAATTTTAATAATAAAAAATATAAAAATAAAAATGTATACATAATTGTTTCTAAACATATATAATTATTTAATGTTGAACAACAATTGTTAATTATTATAAAACTAAACAATTATATTAATTGAATCCGCTATCTACTACTTATTATTTACTTTTTGTTATTTTCCATCCGTTATCCTCTAATTGCTATTCATTATCCTCTATTGCTATGCACTATCCTTTATTTGCTACTTGCCACCAACTATCCACTAAATTTTAACCACTATATTATACAAATCCAAATTTTCAATCATTTATCTATTTATTTTTAATTGTTAAGATTTATTCACATTTATTAAAAAACCAAATAGACCCTAAACTTCAACCATTTATTTTTTTACTTTTAATTGTTAAGATTTATTCATATGTATTAAAGGTAATTATTTTTTTTACCTAAAAGCTCATGATAAATCTTAATTATTAAAAATGAAAAAATAAATAATATAAAATAAAAAGTTAAAAGATGAATAATTGAGATTTTATGTAAATGTAATATGTAAAACTTATGTGTGAATAAAGTTTCTCTAGTTTTGATATCTTATCATTGAAAAGGAAAATAATCTGTACACCATTGGCTCAATACATTTTTTAACACATTTTTGGTTCAATCATTAAAAATATAATATAAATATAATTGATTCTTATATCCTGTATGTATAATTATATTTTTAAATTTATTTACTTTTAATTTTAAACTAAAAAATAATAACTTTTTAATAAATATATTGTGTAATGTGTTAAATAGAGATGCACACCAATTCTTGTCCTATTGAAAAAATGTTTGGCAATTAAGATTTTATCCAATTGTAAACTACGAACCTTAAATGAGAAGCC